TTAAATAATTCAATTTTCAATAAAATCACATTGTAGATAGTTAAAATAATATATAGTCAAATGATATATAATTGATATAATATTTATATAAATACTTTTCTACTTGACAAAAATTCCAATGAAGTAGAAATCATAAGTTTATTAAGAATTATAAAATAGATATCATATAAAAATTATATTTTATTTATATCTTATCATTAGCTATAACTAAGAATAATATAATATAAATTCAATTTTTTTAAACATTAAATCTTGAACAAATAAATTTTATGCCATATTTTTTCTTATTTTTTTCATAGCAAATGAATCACTCAACATATGAATCATATTATTTGAATATCTTAACGTTATTCATGTTATTGAAATTTTGACCTGATATATTGAAAAAAAATTACAAAAATGTTACTTTGATATATGGACTTTTCAGGCTTTACAATTAACATTTTCCATTATAATTTATTTTAAACATATAATCGTAACAAATAGATATTTTTATAACATCAATTAAAACGTATTGTAATTTATATTTTGCAATATCTTACATTTTTGTAAAACATTATCAATATCTATTATATTATTTGTCTTAAAATTATTATCACTAGATAAACCCATTAAGGCAATGTCTCCCAATCTTTTTAGATTAACTATACATTTTAAGATTACTTCGATTTTTGCGATATATATAATATCATAATTTTTAAAATAAAAATTTCTTTTTACCTGAAATGATAATATATTTTAACACTTGTTATATTTGTTTAAAAAATAGAATTAAATCAAAATCAATTTATTTATTTTATTATAATTTTTAATATTAATAAAAGATCCAGTTAATTTTGTTAGACATAATACTTTAAAATCAATAACGATTTTTAATTATCGCATTGATTCACTTTTCTCAATCATGAATCACATTTTCCAATGATATTTATAAATAATGAATAAAATAGTTTTCTTTAATAAAACTTCTGCGATACTATTGTATCGTGATACATCGATTGGGAAATATTGCATTAAAATATAATCTCGATAATAATTTTAAATAATTATAAATGATAAAAATGTATATTTTTCATTATTTGCGTAACAAAATTGTGCTTAACTATTTTGTTCATACTTTAGAAACGATTAGCATGTACATGATAAATACGTAGACCTTGGTTCGTGTGTCATAAATATAAAAAACAATGTTTGATAAAGAAACTACTTATATCAAGAAGAAACTGACATCATCCTGATTTATGTATTTTGTAATTAATCAAGATAAATGCTGAAGATTGGAGTTAAGCGAACACGGATCAGTTAATTTTTATCTGTGCTCAATTTATTTTTAAAAAGAATATTCTCAACTTATAAAAAATATTAGTCTTCTTGCAGAATAGAACTATGATTATTTGTGTGATACAAATTACAAATATTTTATAATTATTGTGCAAGAGGACTCAGATTTAATTATATAAAAAAAATCTCTAATTATCGAATTATGATTATTTATATATTGTTGAAAAATTATAAAAATTCCAAGTTTCATAATTTTATTAAAATTTCTAAAAATAGACGCAACAAAAACAAAAGCTATTTTTCAATTCTTTAGATCAATTCTTTTTTTTTTTTTGATCGAAGGATTGAAATTAAAAACTTTGAAGTTTAATAACTTGTCAAATCACTTTATTCAAATGATCCTAATTCGACAATCAGGGATTGTAGTTTCTCAAATAATTCTTTATTTTCTTAGAATTCACGAGAAACTATTACGTTCTTAACGACTTTAAAAAGAAAAATGACATATTCTCGTTAATTTATAAAAAAAAAAAACTTATTTCATCTAATAGAAAATCGATAGGAAACATTTATCGAATTGAAAAATGTTTGATTTATATTTACACTACGATAAGATACGAGAGTATGACAAATGAGTAACTATCTAAGTAGTACACGAATAATACCTAGATCGTGCGTTAAAATGTACGCTATGCGTCGAAGCAATGGATGGCAGTCCAGGCGCACATGTTTGCTGTGCCAATGCAATGCGTTTTCTGTACATAATATCGTAGCTCTAATTAATATTAGTTAGAGTGTAGCTGGGATCACGTTGACGTAGACGATGGCATATACGTAGAAGTAAATCGATAAAGGCACACGAAACGAGTCATCCAACCGCGCCTTTCTATATTATGAACACAAATTAGCTATGAACTAATTATTATGAACTAAATTAGATGTAATTTTCTTGTAAAAACTGCGATTCGTTCACGCGTCCACTGTTGAAGAAAAGTCAAGGAAAATTATGAGTAAAATATTGCGATCAATTGAATGTTACATACTTCGATATTAGGTTTAGTAAAGGGATTTGTAAGCAAATAAAATGTTAGTTTAGATTAAATAATGATATTGATTCCATGTTATACGATGTTGTCCAACAAAAATTTCGCAATTTGAGAAATATTTTAACACGTTTATTGATGATTCAATTTTCAGAATTTCGTGATTTTTAATTTGCGTCCTAGATAAATTGGTATTAGATAAATTGGTATTAAGAATTTTGTAAAAATATGTGATACTTGGATTTTAAATGTAGACAATGAACGCGTTATAAATATTTTACAATAGTTTTTAAAACGAATATTTTCTTTATTTTTTTTTTTTTATAAGTTTTAATTAATGTATTTGTTTAAGAACGAAATTTCATTAGTTTTGTAAGTTAATATATCAATGAAAAATATTGATAAAAATTCACGATCGACGCATGAGCGAATACATTAGGGGGGTTGTACGGAATATATCTGTTGTTACGCCCAAAAACGATGATCTACATTTTTAATCCTTTATTTGATACATGCTAAAAATTTGAAAAATTATTAGTGTATAATAGTATAATTTAAAAAACGACCAGAAAAATGCACAAAAAATATTGTTGCTTAAAAATGAAATCATCAAATAAAGGATTAATCTTGTATTATCCAAACAACGCGTGTGAGTCGTATTCACGTTATGAACGTGGATACAAAACTCTTGTTTTGTACAATAATACTCATTACATTTGGAAAAAATTAGTAAGTTAGAGCTTTTTTTCATGTATACATAAGATAATAATACTACGTACATATAGGGATGGTGAGGATGATAATTATCTTAATAACGGCTACCTTGACATATTACAAATAGTATTATTTACTACCATTTAATGCTAATGATTTTTTTGCTACGTTTTAAACGATAAAAAAACGACAGGAATGATTTGACTATATATCGTTTCGAATATTTGCCTTGTGAAACGATGCGCTGACCTACACTGTCCGCGTATTTAATGGCGATCAACAGCTCCATTTTATTCTAAGTTATACTACGAGACTTGTACGATATAAGTAACTTGATTAAGCCTTAGAAATACGTTATTGGTACTGGTAAATATAAAAAAAAAAAAGTCGTGAAAATAACTTTCGCTGTTAAAAGTAAATCCGCATTTTTCTTTTCTATAATATTTTCTTCATTATGTTAGATATACACGTACCCATAGTTTAAATTTTTACGTTCGTTTCGTTTCGAAGCATAGAAAATTGTTGAAAAAAAAAGCGAGTCGAATTGAGATTGAACGATCGAATCGAAATTGTGATCGGACCGAATGATTTTGAAAGTTCAACAAACTGCCACGCACGGCCAATAAGCTTCTAAATTACGATAATTAAACATTATGTATTGTTCAATGAATTTTGTATATATCATCAGCTCATAATGAAGTGGAATGAATCATCTTTCGACTCGTTTGCTCGATACACAATAATTACGATCGCGTAAAGAATGAAAAAGAACGGAACAGGAGAGGGAAAAAAAGAAAAGAAACGAAATGTTTGTCAGAAAAGAATGATTCGATACATAATATTCGTAAACGATTAGTTTAGACCGAGGCGGAAGTGCTAGAACCTAAAATCGTCTTACACTTCGCACAAGACTGAGGAGCTTGTATATAATTATACATTTAATGCATTTGATATAAAAATGAAAAAAAAAAAAGAAAGGTACGAGACGTTTACCTTTGGAAGATTCAGTTTATTACCATGACATTAATACTTGTAACAGCATAAAAAAAAGATTGTAAGTTGTACATACAAAAATAAGGTCCTACTATCGCGAATATACATATATGATTACTACCGTTGTCACGGCGTTTCCGGTTTGCATGTGTACCATTTTTCCATGTTTTTCTAAAGAAAAAAAATAATAATAGTGCAAGAAAAGAAAAACGTCGCGACCGTGAAACCGAAAAAAGAGAGATTTCCTATTTTTCAGCAAAAAAAAAAAAGTCCATCGAAAACAAGAAAACTGCGCGTCGAGTGCAAGACAAACACGCCCGATCCAGTGGACCAAAATGAATTACACCGCCTGAATTCACACATTTTCATGTCTCTGCCCACTTAGCGTTCTATAGACAAATTTAAAATAGATCAGATTAAAGACAGAGACAAACTAAAATCTCGTGGCTATAATTATTCACAATCAGGCACTAGATCAATCACTTGCTAATCGCGTGATCGCCTATCAGCAGCAGCGACAAAAAATGGATAAAATCGAAAAAATGAAAAAAAAAAAAGAAGCGTATATATCGTTGCGTTGTATATCTGACTGGAATCAGTTAAAAACGTGTTTCTTTTTTTTTTTTTATGATAATAATTATCGTTCGATATTAATAGTTGCTTAAAGAATATCATCTCATAAGAAAATGAATGAACGCTGTCCTCGATGCGGAAAAAATACTATTGCGATATATACTTTATTATCTATCGGAAAATAAAATATATCGATGATGGATTTTTAAGTGTCCGTGATTTCCTTTAAACGGTAGTAAACGAATTAATGCGAATAAGAAATACCGCAAGAGATCCGCTTATGAGTTACATTTACATTTACAATCCAAATATCCAGTAAAATTAAATAGAATTAAGATGAATGTCACAAATAATGTAAACTCTGAGAATAATGAGATGAAATAAACAAGACGATGATTCAAATATAACAGAGCGTATATTTTTTCGCATATCTTGAATACACTAATAAGAAATTACTCTTGTTATCTAAATATATCGCAGATTGAGAAAATAATGACTGATTGATTCAAACGCAAGATTGTAAATTCTTTCTTCTTTTCTTCGTTAATCGAAAAGAGATTAGAAATTGTTGCATATAGCGACAATAATGAAATTAAAGACATTAGAATATGTATAAAATGGAAGCACTTATTTCTTTATATGTGTATATTTATCGACATACACCCACCGTTTTATCTTTTGCGAGATAAAAATAATGGATAAAAACGGCCTCCTTAATTTTTATGCGATTTATAATAGAAAGCTGAAATTTCCCATAAAATATAATATTTTTCATGGGAGATATCATTATAAGCAACTTAAGGTAAGCTTCTCAGGACTTATATATTCCGGAAAGCACACCATTAATCACTATATCTGGAAGACTATTCGACGTAGAACCAGACTCAACGTATGGATCGTAATGGAAAGTTAATACAGGTTGATGACTAAAAGCACTGGTGTCAACGTATTGCGAATCTTCCGTATCCTTGTATTGAAACGTACTGAAATAGAATATTTTTATGTTAAGATACGAAAAAATAGCATGCAAAAGTAGAATATTTAAGCTTGTAAAAAAAAAGTAAATGTTATTTTATAAATTATTATAAAAATTAAAATTTATCTTTTTTCATAAGATATTTAAAATTTATATATTTAATTTTAATATTTTGATTATAATCATAATTATAAATTTATTTATTATTTATATTAAAAAAAAAGAATAATAAATATCTACATACTTTTTATATGACACACCTGATGTTCGATCTTCTATGCCCAGAAAATTGAGAACCTGTTGCTTCGTAGTTGAAAGCCTTAACATTTTTTGAATATACAATTCCAATGCGGCTCGCCTTTGTTCGAGCACTTTTGGCTGGCAATTTCTTACCTTCTTTGGCGGAAACGGAGCAACTTCCGCGTTTTCTTTCTTCAACTGTAATGAAACGAATGTTAATAAACTTTGATGAAATGCCTTTGATTGATGCATTAAAACAAATAAATCATCAAAATATGAAGAAAAAAATAAAATTTAAAATGCACAATATTTTATTAATATATTGTCTCTCCAATTTTTTTTAAAAAATCGTATTACAAATAATTTTTATTTATTTTATTTAAAAATAAAAAAAATATTAGAAAAAACTTTCATAGTATGCATATACATATATATATATTAAATTCACATATAGACATACTATTGGTTTTTAAATATATATATATATATGTACATATTATATTATATATATATATTATATGTATATATAATTTTATGCTATAAATAACTAAAATAA